GCTCCCGTGTCCCCTGGGGGGCGCCCCTGGCCTTCCCGCAGGCCGCCTCTCAGGGGAGCGTGCGGTGCGGTGGCTCTTCTCGTCAGTCGGGGCTGTCCCGCCACAGCCAGGCAGGACTGGGCCTTTTCTCGCTCCCGCCTTCCCTTTTGGAGGCTGGGAAGGGAAGAATGCCTCTGAAAGAGGACTAGGGAACGGCGGCGGGGCACCGCGCGCTCTCCAGGACAGTGGAAGGGCTCTCCCGACTCTTCAGTAGCTAGGTTTTAACTGTGTGCGAAGTTATTTTGGCGCCGTTATATTTCCTGATTATTTGGTAGGCGTGTCTTTTCCTACATGAAAATGTCAGTTTCCACAGATGTGGTGTAAGACCAGGGACGTGGTCTTTTCCCGGGTTTACGTGGGGAAAGTTTCAAGAGTTCAGCGTAACTCTGCACTGGTACTTAGGTAATTTCAGATACTTTTAGCAGTATTCCTGTTTTGTGTGTTATTTTCAGAGTGCATGAAGCTTCAAAATAAGTTAACAACAAATTGGAAAACAGGTGAAAGTTTTCGTAACTTAAACTGCGCTTATTTTATTTAACTGTATATAATTAACAGAGAAATATGGATGTAGTTTTCAGCTCTATGGCTTCCAATACAAGAAGGATATGGACCTGCTCAAGTGAGTCCAGAGGAAGCCATGAAGGTGATCAGAGGGCTGGATCACCTCTCCTGTGAAGACAGACTGAGAGAGTTGGGCTTGTTCAGCCTGAAGAAGAGAAGGGTCCAGGGAGACCTCAGAGCAGCTTTCCAGTATCTAAAGGGTGCCTATGAGAAATCTGGAGAGGAACTTTTTACAAGGGCATGTAGTGACAGGACAAGGAGGAATGGTTTTGGACTGACAAGAGGATAGATTTAGATATTAGGAAAACACTCTTCCCAGTGAGGGTGCTGAGGCGCTGGCACAGGTTGCCCAGAGAAACTGTGGCTGCCCCATCCCTGGCAGTGTTGGGCTGGATGGGCCTTGAGCAACCTGCTCTAGTGTGAGGTGTCCCTGCCCGTGGCAGGGGGGTTGGAACTAGATGAGCTTTAAGGTCCCTTCCAATGCAAACAATTCTGTGATTCTTTTTTTCTTGGTTACTATTTGGAATTTTCATAAGTTCTTGTAGAGATTAACTTTGCTACAGTGGGTAAAAGTAATAAAGTCTGTGTTAATACTTTTGGTTCATAAGGTCATTAATTAGTCAGCTGAAACAGACAGGCATTTTTGGGTGGATGGATAATTGACAGAATGTTAAAAAGCAAACTACCACCCTGTGGGCCAGGGTAGCCAACCATCCATCTATCCCAGTACTTTATTTAGCGTGGCATTGTGAGAGATGAGGTATGAGGAGAGCACAGAAGCCTGATCAAGCCGTTTTACGCTCCCTCAGTATGCCTCAGTCTTCGGTTTAGGGATGGTACAGGCTAGATTTTTGCCCATTCCTTCTGCTTATGGACTTGTCTGTGACCTACCACCTCAGCTTTATATATGTAAAAGATATTTGTCTGTATCCTCAGATAGATTGGAGGTCTTCAGTGGTTTTCTTGAGCTGTTTTGACCCTCGTTTTAATTTTCTTAATGGATGTAACTCTTCAGCTTATACCTTTACCCGGCAGAAAATGCCTCACAGTAAAATGGGATTATTATCCTGTGTTCATAGCAGTGTATTTTGAAGGACGGATGATGTTTCGTTTTATTATAACATGTATTCCTTCAACATCAAACAGTAATGAAATCGAAGCCTAGTACCCATTCTGGTGTCTGTGATGTTACTACCACTTGCATAGTGTGAACAAAATGGTTTGGGGGCAAAATTAAGGATGATTTAACAAACAGAGTATTAGTCAAGTTAAAAGTAAGATTGCTAAAAATGACGTGTTAGATGTGCTGCACAGAGCTTCCTAAAAATGAACTTGCCAGTGATATGGCAGCACTTGGGGACACTTTGAGAAAAGCTTTTTAAAGTATTTGCAATGATGTTTCGAATTCAAGCAAGCAAGGCACAGTTGGGTCTTAATTCCAGTACAGGTTTAAATTTGTTAACATTAATGAGATGATGTTTAATATATGTGTGCATACAGTCTTGCAATTCTGAATCTAATACAGGCTGAATGTAACTAGTGAACCAGTGTGAACCGACTGACAGCAGAGTGCAAAGTTCCAAGTCACAATGGCATTAAGCATTGTGTGGGTTTTTTTTTTTTCATAAAGCAAAAAGGATGTTCTATTTAGAATAGTAGTTGGGGTTTCTCATGTTGGTGTTCCTAATTTGCTGCTGCTGTGCCTATTCTGCATTGGTTTTTGTCTTATTTCTGTCTTGTGTAGTTCTTGAGTTACACTTCTAAAAAGAGTTCTGTTTCCTACAGTTGGCCTTGGCAGAGTTATACGAAGATGAAGCCAAAAGGCAGTCATTGTGTCCCAACAAACCAACACCTACAAAGATCAGTAGCACAAAAGCATCACAGAGGTAAGATGTGCTTTGTACTTCAGAAATGAGCTGAATAGTTACTGTTTTAGCTTGCAGAACTTTTGTCATGCTTACTTCATCTCCTCATTGTATAAAAAGCCACCTACAGCAGTTCATAATCCAGAATTCTGAAGCCCTGTAATAATGCATAGTTTGGGTCTTCTGAGAATGCTGTTTAAATCGTGTTTATTTAGCAGCCTTTTTGCTATATGGTATTCCAGAATACTTTAAACCCACTTCAGGTAAGATAAGATGCTGTAAGTGAAATGCAGTGTTGCTCTTTTTTTACACAGATAGAATTTGGAAATTTGTTGTATCAGAAAAATACTGCAGTTCTTTGCTGCTTCAAAATTCAGCAAATCAGTAGCTTGTGTGAAACCTGACAAGTCAGCTGCTTTGAGGGTTGTACTTACGTAAGTACCTGATGAGACAAATACTTGAAAAACTATTAGTAGGTTCATTAGTAGGCTCCTGTGGGGTGAGAAAAATTAATTTGCCTGAGTTTGTCAGGTGTAAGGTAAGACATGTATTTATGTATAAATCCAACTCTTTCTAGCCTGCAGTGTTTGCAGTTCATATAGCATTTGAAGATTTAATGTAGCCTTATTTTTTTTTCTAGAGAAATCTTGCCAGTTTTTAGTTTCTATTTAAATAGTTATAAAGAAGAGAAGTCTTTACATCATTACTGTCAGTGATGCTATAACAAGTCTTGTATTTGGCTTGTCTTTCAATTGCTGCTGCCAAGATGGATCTCTGTTTTAAAGGAGGTTAAGCAGCAGAAAAGATCTTAGTCACCAGAGCCATGCTTCAAGTGCATTTGCAAATGCAGATCTTCAGGAAGAGGGATTTTAGCACATCATGTGACACTTGGAAAATAATATTTTTGGGGGGTGAGTTTGTTTGTTTGTTTTGGTGAAAGCACCTAAATTGCCTTATCAACTACATTGAACACAGTTTATAAACAAACAAAGCCAACAGCTCCATTTACCCATATATATCATAAAGTTACGACTTCCCACTCCAGCTGAAGGGAAAGCTGCAGTACAGTATCTCAGATATTTCACTGTGATAGCTGTTGGCAAACAGCTCTTTATTGGCGGTCATGCTAGAATCTGTCTGAGAAACAAGAGATGGCTGCTATTTACATGGTATCCAAAATGAGATTTTCTTAATAGACTTCAGTTTGCTCTCAGATAAGCAGTGTATTAATTGCAAGGAAACGTAGTGCTGCTCTTGATCTACTCAGCTTGCCTTTCACAATGGCAGGTACAGAAGAATGTCCCTGGGCCCTGCTGGAACAAATGCCATATTATTATTTGCTGTCCTGTTGTGTAAACTCCTTTAAGAAACTTAAGACCATTGGCACAAAAATAGAATATTTGCCCCACAAAACCTACAATGCAACAAAGGAAGAAAATAGAAGAGATTAAAGGATTTCTAGTTCCTGTGACCCTAGTCCATAACAACACATTTTTTTTCTGAGAAATTAATAAGAAGCAGACCCTTCACTTGGATATAGTATCACATTGTTTTATCAAGACTGATACTTAAAAAAGCAATGGACTGCTCTGCTACACTTTGATTTCAAAGGCATGGTAATCGGACAGATTGCCTAAATCTGAGGCAGTGATCTGCCATTACTTACATAGCAGATTGTATGTACGTTCTTACCCTGTGGTAGTCAGCTACCACATATACATCTTGCATTAATGAATTTTATCACCAAGAACTACAGAATAAGAGCAAATACCTGTACAGCTGTTGCTGGAATTCTGCAAGCTAAAAACCCTAGCTTATTGTGGTAGCTTATGGATGTGTTCCTGTCATAAAACAGAATGTGATTCTGCATTTTGATCACCTTCTGAAAGTCTTTGTGGTGTTGCCACTCAATGTATTTTTAAAATCGTATAAAATAGAAGTAAGAATGACTACTTCTTAAGTTTTTTAGGATCCTCATAGACAGAGACTCCAGGACCTCAAGGAAAGCCAATGTTGACTTCACTAGGCAACTTAACTCTTGACAAAAAAAGCTAAAATGTGGAAACAATTTGAAGTGTAGTTATTTCTGGTAAGCTGGATTCTGAAACAGCTGTTGGGCTTGCACGTTACCTGTGTTATCTATGGGACCACCCATGGTGTAAAGTAGAATTCAGCATAACCTATGCTAGAAGAGGATAGTTCAGTTAGAAGGGACCTACAATGATCATCTGATTCAACTGTTACTGCAAAATGACTCTGCCATACATGCACCCTTTCCTGCTTATTCACTGAGAAGCATTCATGGCTATGTATTTTGGAGAAAAAAAGGATGGTAAGAACAAAAGAAAGCCCCAACATCTTGATATTCTTAGTTTGTTTGGTTTTTTTATTTTAAAAAAGAAGAAGTAGTTTCAGAAGTTAGATATGAAGTACTTAGTGAGATGCATGTACCAGCCATCTTCAAATGTTTTCTTTCATTCTCTTGGCAGTCTTAAAATTGATTCTCTTAGAAGGTTGAGAAAACCAGAAAGAAGCATGAGCGATGACAAAGAAAACCAAAGGTATTTTTCGAACAACAACAAAAAAATCATGTAACAGTTATGAATGTAATTGGGGTTTTTCATGACATTCACACTTTGCTCACTTCTCTTTTTCAAAATGCAGGTGAGCTAAGTCTAACCCGCAAAGAGCTAGTAACTACAGACATGCTATGTGGCTTATTAGAGGAAGTGTTAGCCATGCACTGCTGTAGTAAAACTATATATAGAAGAATCCATCTGTGGTGATCTAGAACCTGTAGATGCCTTAACACGTGATTGTATGGATGAAGGTTGTAACTTGCACTTGAACTCAAAAGCTTTTTTGCATTTTTTCAAATATCCTGAATTGTCCTGGGTATCCATTACTCAAATGCTTGAGTACTTCCTTTCTTGAGTGCAAATTCTGATTGTTTCTTCTTACCACTATAATTCTTTTAAATCTAATGATTATTTTCCATATAAATGGCAATTGGGTAATAAATACAGATATATGTTCAAAGGAGAGATAGTACTAAGGGATAGGCAGTTATGTTGGATCATAAAAGCAGTGTGGTTGTACAGCACCTTTATACCCACTACTGGTTTTGGGTAATTGTAAAATATGGTGGAATCAACAGCATTTTGAAGTAATTTGCTTGAGAGATAGTTTTACACAGATTAGTTGGTTTGCCTTGTCCCAGATGGTTAAGTGAAAAAGTTAAGTGGAAACCACTTACTTTATTAGCTATTAACGTTTCTTCTAATCAAAGACAAAACACTCAGGTTTCCCAGCTTTTGTATTTATATACAGATTTTTTTACAGCATCTATTCCACTGGTATTTAGAAATTTATAGTGACTTCCTCAAGATAATCCTCAAGGAATATCTCGATCTTCATAATCAAACAGATACAGTTTTCAACACAATTATTTTTAGTTTCACCTTTCATCTTCAAGAGCTATAAATGGGGCTGTGTTGGAGAACACAAGTTAGCTTTTGCAGCAGTTTCTGCAGATTTTAAGATGCCTTGAAAGGTTAGTTAAATTTATTAAAACCTTTCTATTTCTGATATTGGCAGGAATGGAAGTCTACTATATCTTTAAATAAAAAGACCAAATTGTGGCACTGTTCAAGTTTTCCAACAGTTTCGTGCTTGTTCTGCCAAGTTGTTAACCTGTATTCTGACCAGCCACAGCACAGTCCCATGCACAGGACACCCCTGAGGGGACTGATCTTTTTGGGAACAGGCAGCATCCACACAGATGAGGTATATGCAGCTGCGACTTTATCAGGACTGTGTTCCCTTGGCCCCTGTCCTCTGGGGATCTGCTCCAGAAGGCACCATGGTAGTTACTGAAATGTTTTTGGAGTAGTGCTGCTTGGATTGTTGGGAAGGTCGAAACCCAGTGGAACATTTCTGTGATCAGAATGAAAAGGTTTTGGGCCACATTTGGGTTTTTGTTCATTTATTATTTTCTTTTGGTGAGGAGAATGGTGCTTGTCATTTAAAGTACTGTTGCTTATGAACATCACTATTCTAAAGATTTTATTCAGGTGACTCGGAATATAGAGGATTACATATTTCTGGGGCTTCTAATAATCCAAGTAAAATTGTTGCTGAACTCTTCAAGGAAGCAAAAGAACATGGGGCTGTCCCATTAGACGAAGCCTCAAGAGCATCTGGTGATTTAAGTAAAGCTAAGGTAAGAGTTAGTCTTTTTAGACTCTTTTTACATTAGTCTCTCTTCATCTCATCTAACCACATGAGAGCAAATGCACCTTTTTGTGGTCTGCAGATAACAGGGTTTGATCAACACAGTTGTATTATCTGAGCTCAAATAGCTTACTCTAGAAAATAAACTGGGGAGGAACCACACAATTCCGGGGAAATAATTAGAAATCAACCTAAACTGGAATGATTTGCTTTATTTTTAAGTAAAATTGATTAAATCAAAGTCCAAAACTGCAGTTGCATCCCAAATCAAAATTTCTAAATCTCTTATCTGCTGTATTACTACTAATTACTACTAGTGGTCAATGGCTCAGTGTCCAGATCGAGATGAGTGATGAGTGGTGTCCTTCAGGGGTCCGTACTGGGACCAGTACTTTTTAATATAGAATACTGATTTAATATAGAATAGATTTAATATAGAATAGATTTAATAGTGTTTAATATAGAATAGTTTAGAATATAGAATATCTTTGTCAGCGACATAGATGGTGGGATTGAATGCACCTCACGGCAAGTTTGCAGATGACACCACACTGAGTGGTGTGATTGACATGCCTGAGGGACAGGATGACATCCAGAGGGATATGGACAAGCTGAAGAAGCAAGCCTATGTGAACCTCCTGAGGTTTAACAAGGCCAAGTACAAGGTCCAGTGTATATTCAGACTAGATGAGAAAGGAGTGTTTTATGATGAGGGTGGTGGAACACTGGAACAACTTGCCTAGAGAGCACTCAGTCTGAATGGAAACATTCAGTCTGGTTGAACGGGCTCTGAGTAATGTGATCTAGTTGAAGACGTCCCTGCTTATTGCAGGGAGGCTGGACTAGCTGATCTTTAAAGATCCCTTCCAACCCAAACTATTCTATGATTCCAGTGTTTGAAAAAGTGTAGATTAGAAACTGAAACATACCACATACAACCTGCTTAGCCTGATTATGGTTACTACATACAATCTTCCACACAGAAGATACACAAATTAGAACAGTGCTTTTTATCACAGAAGCAAGCTTGCTGATGCGTCTTTTTCTTTTTTTTTTTTTTTTTTTCTTGCACTTAGGTAAGAATTTTAATAAAGTCTTTTAGATATTTATTTCAATAAGCTTTTCTGTGTATTTTTTCCAGTCATTTTCTGGTGGTGGATATAGGTTGGGTGACTCATCACAAAAGCACTCAGAATACATATATGGAGAAAATCAAGATGTAAGTAAAATTCTGAATAGCAGGAAAAATCTCCAACAGATGTCTGCTTAATCATGTTTACAGCTTGAAAAGCCAGTATTGCTGTAACTATGTCTGTGAGGAAAAACTGGTATCTAAATACTGGATAAGTGGTAAGTGGAAATCGTTAGTGTCCACAGTGGGCAGGTGTTCACTGGATATCCCTAAAGCCTCCATTATGGAATTTTCTGATGTAAATTACTTTGGAATTCTTAGCAGACATTCCTTTCAGGTACTTTCTTCCAGCTGTTGTTCTGCGTTCCTTTAGGCTATGCTAACATTTTAATCCTCTTAGGTTAGGAATTTTTTCTTGTGTGGCTTTTCTAGGGTTGTGATTTTTTTTTGGTGGGGCTTGCAAGTTAGCCAGTCTCAAACTGGAGGGCATGAATTTATTGTAGGAATGGTGAAGCAGCAGGTTAGAGGCCTTTTGAAAACTGCCTGGCCTTTCTTTACTCTCACTTAAAAAGCAGGAAGTGAGGGAGAGGGTGGGTAAAAATAAAGTTTTCTACACTTTACTGTTTGTATGAATGGCTAGAGCAAATGTTAAGCTTATCTAGAAGCAAAACCAAGAAATGAATAAGGCCAGAGGATGTAGTTGAGGCTGGGGGTTGCTGTCACATCCCATCAGGAGCTTAAGTAATCCTTCTAAGCAATAGCCAGCTGTACTAAGCCAGAAGCCTGTTGCAGTGGGGTTACCATAGCTGAGGCAGGGATAGTTTTCTAAGGAAGGTTAGTTTTACTGGCTAGGAAAGCCTAGTTTTGCTGGACTGCAAGGCAGTTGCAGGGAAGAGAGGTGCAGGCTCTGAAGGTGACAGGCTTTGGCTGGACGTACAGACATGCAGCAAAGTAAGAAGGGAGCAGAGGAGGCTGGTTTGCAGGATTCTCAGTGTTTGAACCAGCTGTATTGGAGCTCACCATGTAATAATTTGAGGAATGAGTAATTTCACTGTAAGTGGTGTATCAGCAGTAATTTGTAGTTTTATGGATTTATTAATTTATCAACAGGAAATTTACATTTGTTTTAAAAGTAAGTGGAACCCTGTGAAGATCACTACACAGTCACTGTACGATCTGTTATATCATGGGTAACAGATTAAGAGATTCTTTTTCCCCAAGTATAAAAGTGGTCTGCTTTTTTTAAAGGATTCTAACAATGACAGTTGCAGTGCAGTGCTCTGTTCTTATTTTGTCATCTCATTTGTAGTCTGCTACAAAATCTGTTAAGTATAGATTAAATAAAAAGTATAACTAATCTGTATGAAATCAAAATACTGTATTTGTCTGTCTTCACTTTTTTTATTTCACTGTTTTTGCTTCACAGGTTCAAATTTTGCTGAAACTATGGAGGAATGGCTTCAGTTTAGACGATGGCGAGTTGAGATCCTATTCAGACCCAACAAATGCTCAATTTCTTGAGTCTGTTAAAAGAGGGTAAGTTAAAATGGCAACTTTTTGGAGGTATGTCTTTCAAGTGAAGTGAGGAAAAATGCTTTCTCCACATGTTTATAGTTATTGAAAGCTCCAGGCTTCTTTTCTGCCTGCACCCATAAAATGTATTCTGTATGTGTCATCAGATGCATGGGGCATTTAAAACTCCAGCAAGCTTTGCTTCCTTCTGGTGGTTTAACTCTGAATGTTACTTGTTACAGGCAGCTTTTCATTTCACACGTTTTGTTAGTGCATTCTAGATTTTGACTGTCTGTGTTCTAGGTTTGACTGTAAGCTTGCTGATATGTTTTTTTCTACCCTTAGGATGAAGTTAATTCATAAAACAATCGAAATTCTATGGTTTTCAAAGTAAAATTACTAATAGTATCAACTCGTTGTACTGCTTAAAGTTTTTGTCATTTCAGTTTAGAATGTGATTGGGAAACTTCTATTTTTGTAATGAAGGGAAATTCCTGTGGAACTGCAGCGACTTGTTCATGGTGGACAGGTTAATTTGGACATGGAAGACCACCAAGAACAGGAATATGTGAAGCCTAGACTGCGATTTAAAGCTTTCAGTGGTGAAGGGCAAAAGCTGGGAAGGTAAAAGCCTCTAAGTTTTCTGTTCTGTGTTCATATGCTATTTTGAAAGCTGGGTTTAATCAATTAGAAGACTGTTAGAGAAACTAATCAGATCAGAAAAGCAATCTAAAATTATTCTGTGCTGCAAGTCTCAGCCCTGATTTCAGAGTCACCCGGTAATCATGAAAGTTGTATATAAATCTTAGTCCTCTGTTGAAACTGTTCATAGATTTGCTAGATGCTTTCTACTTTGCTGTGACTGTGACATTTCTCTGCTTGTTCTTGCATATGATTTTGCCTATATATATGTAGAGATGCCATTACAGCAATATGGCTGATGCCTGGCATGCAGATATAAAGTATTTTTTGTAGGGGAGCAACTCCCATATATTTTTTTTCCGGAATGAAGCACCAGAAGTACTGCCCTGAAAATGGTTACTGATTATTAGTATACAAGGCAAGTCTCTTGGGTTTAAGAAGGAAATAATGTAATAAACTTGTTTGTGGGTTGTTTGGTTTTTTGTTTTTTCTTAATTTGATCAGACATAAATGAGCAGTAAATTGTATCAAAATCTCTCAACTTCTACCAGGATTTGATTGAAATATCAAATGATGTTGCAAAAACTCCTAATGTGTACTAACTCAATTGAACTGATACATAATGTGCCGAAAGTCATTCAGTTCAGTCTGCTTTGTCCAAAAGTGCATCTCTGTTCATCTTAAATTGGTCAGTAAGAGTAAACAGTAACGTAACCTCAACTCTGCCAATCATCAGCTTTTTTCACATAATGGTTATAGGCTTTAAAGCATCTTTTTCGGCTGACTTGATATTAGCTGTTGAATTGTAAATACTACTTGCATTTATTCATGTGATGTGTTTGGTTGCCAAAAAAGGGTATTACCGGTGTGCTTCTGCGAATAATCAGTAAAGGTGGTAAGCACTAGTAGGGGTAATGTAGGGAACAGCTGCATATGATAAGTTCTTCCACCTGAGCACTTGCTCAGATTATTAAAGAGAACAGGAAGAGAGGAGGTTTGTATATAACAAAGTGTGCACGCCTGTTCTGTGGCATTTTTATTTGTTTTGGTAGCTGATGAAGTCTCAGGTATGTGAGCAATGAAAGGAGTAGCCAAATCTGTTACTTCCAAACATTTATATTGGTTTTATACTAAATTTAAAAGATTCCACACTTACTTTGTGGTGATACCAATTACCTGTTAATACCATTTGTGCTCCAAAAGGTCGGGAGATGCCCAGAATCATGGAGTAATGAACCTGAAAGCAATTACTAAAGCAGTTTGGGTCAGTTAAGTGCACTGTAATTGTCCATGGTTACTTTTTAATACACCAGATGGTACAATATAGAAATCTTGGTATCAAAGACTGTCATTTCATGCTCTGTAAGCATAAACAAATACAGTTTTGTTTGATTACCTATTTAAACTAGTACAAATTTAATGATATGCACAGTTACAAGAAAATATAAAATAAGACATAAATATATAAGAAAAAATCTTGCAGTCATTGACAAGAAACTACAAGAGCATTATTTGTGTGTCTATTAGAAAGGCTGTGTTTATACTTGGTTCAGATAACTGAGAGGATTTTCATTACTCATTTGTACTAGCTGTGTGTAGTTAATCCTTCAGTGACAAAGACAACTGAAGCATTACTCAGTTCTCGTTTGACTCCATTAATAATACCTGGTTTGTTGTGTTTTGGTTTTGTTTTGTTTTTCCCAATCCTGTAGCCTTACACCCGAAATAGTCAGCACACCTTCTTCCCCAGAGGAGGAGGAGAAATCCATTCTTGATGCGCCTGTTCTGATTGATGATTCCATGCCAGCAACTAAAATTCAAATTAGATTAGCAGATGGAAGCCGATTAATACAAAGATTTAACCAAACACACAGGTAAATTGGTTCTGTATCAGTGCAGGTAACCGTAACTATTTTCATAAGTCTGTGTTTTGTCATTAAATGAATATCAGCAAAACATCAAAAAGAAGAAAATACAGCTCCACTGAAATGTATAGCTCTGGTTTGTTTTCATAACATAAATGTACTGCTGAATTGCTATCAAAGCAAAATTCTGTGCTTTGAAAACACAAGATATTTGATAACTGCAAAGTCGGACTTTTATAACCAGTTATGTCCTGTGATCTGTAAGGATATGGTACCAGCCATAACTGTTCTCAGGGTGACTAAAATCTGAACAGCCTCACCATGTAGTCATCCCAGCCCTCGGCCCTTCTTGAGAGGAGCATGTGGCTGACTCAGATGACGCTGTGAAAGCACTTTGTTGCAAGGTGTGGAGTATAGTCTCAATTGGAAGATAGTCCACACTACAGGCAGAAAAATCCTGTGGCCCATAATCAAGAGCTCCAGCTTTCTACCTCTTTAGACTCAAAACTGACTAAACATGACCTGAGTTGTAAGTGTAGGCTGCAGCCCATAGATAGAAGGGTATATGGACGTAATGTCCTCACTTGCAATTCTGGCATGTGGGCTGGACAGAACACTGAAAACCAACTTTTGTTTTGTTTTGGATGGTCACCTCCTAGGAATTGGCAGCATGTGAACCTGGTGGATTTTTAGGTCTGTTAGCAGGTTGTTGATTAGAGCTTGCCATCAGCTTTATTGACATTGTTAGTGCATTGCCACAAATGGTGTTGGCCAACCCCATTTATTTGCCTAAAAGGTTCTTCTAGAGCAAGGTGCATGGTTGAGAGAACTTTGGGCAGAAGGCGGAAATTTGGGCAGTAGTTCCACCCATGCTTCACAGCAAGCAGGTTCAAGCCAGCCTTGATCTGAGATCTGCACCTGCACCACTGTATTATAATACAGCTTGAATCCTGCAATGGAGGTGGTCTTATCATGGACCCAGTTCCATATTAATATTGATACGTGGAGAGTTCACCTGTTTCCTTTTTCTCCTTCTGGCTCATGATAAGGGCAGAGCCATACGTAGCTTTCCTCATCTGACAATATACACAGACCACAATGAGGAAATTTTAGCTGAGATGCTAGTAGGGAGGAAGATACTGCAATAGTTTTTCGTATTTAGCAGACCTCATATTGTATGCTGATAGTACAGGCCCAGACTCTTTCTTCATAGCACTTGCTGGAGAAGTGATTTAGGTAGGCAGTAGGGCTTGTTGACGTTTTCTTCTGTCTGTGTGAAAGGGTAGAAGTGGTAAACTTCTCAGTAACATCTGTAACCAAGAGTGTGTTGACAGAAGCTTGGATGTGAATCTTTTTATCCTTGCCATATGCATGATCAAAATCAGCTACTAAAATGCATTGCTTTGTCATAAGCCTTGAAGACTGATAGAAAATTTAAGTCCCTGTTTCTTTGGCTACAGTATACCTGCCTGCTTACTAGTTAAAATAGATCTTCAAAGATTTATTCTCAGCTTACTGGTTTGGGAGAGAAACCTCAAATTTCCATTTATCTCTAAAATCTTATTTCTCATTCATGTCTTATAAAACTAAATTACTCTTGCTATACTGTTGATTTGATTGTTTTATGAACTGTTGTTCAGAAGTTTGGTGCAGAGTTAAAGTAGGGGAAACTCCTTACTATTGCAGTGCAGTAGTGATTCTCGATGCTTTCTCATCCCTCACCATGTATTTTAAGATTCCTCCTCCCATTAATAATTTAGTTTGGGAGATACTATTTAAGAGCAGAATTTTTGACAGCTGGTGTTGAAATTACTTAACTTTCTGCTAACTGTCATTTTCCAATATACTTCTATGTTACAAGTTTTATTTCTGTTATTTGAGAAAAAGCAACATTCATTTTCATTTTTAATTTTCTCATGCAAGAAGCAAAAAAATTTAGGCTACAACCTGTATCAGATGGAAATGTAAAATCAGTAGGACATATTGAATAGTCTGTTAGAGGGGTTTTTATCTCTGATCATCTTAATGTTCAGAAATTTCTGCCAAAGTGGAATCATACCCAGTTTTCATGTCCATATCCTTTCCACAGGATTAAGCATATTCGAGATTTCATTATCCAGTCCCGTCCAGCTTTTGCAACAACTGATTTTGTTCTTGTGACTACCTTTCCAAATAAAGAGCTAACAGATGAAAGCCTGACTCTACAAGAAGCAGATATACTTAACACTGTGATTCTTCAGCAATTAAAGTAATCTTACAGTTGGTGGTACAATATGGGGAGCATGCTGTATTGTCATACAATATGTTTCCAACAGATGAAGAAAAGGAAAGATCAGTGTCGTCTTGTCCCTCCTCTTCCATGGATCAGATTTTTGGGTTTCATGTCTTCCAGTGTTAACATATCTAACTTTATTTTATAGTATTGTTCGACCTTTTTTCAGTGTTTAAAATTAATCTTCCCTATGTTAGTATGTTTCAAACCACATCTTGTACTAAATGTGAAATGAGAGATGACTTTGACTTTTCACTCTTTTTGGGGGGTGGGGAGAAGCATTTTTCTGAAGGGGACATTATCTTTAATACAGTTGGTAAGATTTGCACTATGGAAATATATTATGCTGCATTGACAAACAGCCATTTGAAGGCATAGCCTGTGGGTGATGTTTACCTTCCAAGCTGTATTAATGCTAAGGTGTTCTGTTTAATAGGTAGAGAGATAATTAATGCTCTAGTATAATTTTTGTATATTCTGTTTGTATTGTTTCATGGTGCAGTATAATATTTATATTCTAGTTTTTATGTAATTTTCTCTGTATGATATGAGTGAATCAGTTCAGGAGATGCAAACCTCAGCTACTGCAGACTGTAATAGATTGCTCACATTTATATTCTACTTGTTCTACTTGTGGTGAAAATAAGTATGACTTTTTTATTTCTTGAGGTTAGAGAAATGGGATACACCTCTGTCGTGGTGTATCCCATTTCACCACTGGAGAAATGCTGTGATTTAGATTTCATGACGGTGGGTCTATGGTCACTTTGAACCTGAGTATGCAGTTGAATCCTCTGCAGCTACATGAACAGTTAACTTAAATAACCCCAAATGAAAAAAAAACCACCCAGGTGCACAAACACACAACTCGTTTGTGCTGTCATTTGTGTGCACAAAAGTAGACATGTTAATTGGTCATGTATTTTTTACCTGAATTTCAGCTCTTTATATTTGGACTTTTGGCCAGAGGCATTTTGTAATATTCAGTGGGGGTTTAGTTGCATGGCTTTCACTATACTTTTTTGGAAGCTGTATAATTAAACCCCTTAATCTTTGAAATTCTGTATTTTTTTCAAATAACATGGCCCTACACTGCAGTATGTAGGTAGGAGTCATGTTGTGGGCAAACTGGCTGCTGTGCTTTAGTAGTATGCTATTTTACAGTATTTGTGGCTTTATATCAGATGAGTGGATCTCACTGAAGGAGGATAAATGGGCTGTATCTCTTGTACAATGTATGTGTTAAAAATGCTGTTTTCACTGATTACTTTATTCTGAAAATATTTATTTATGCTAAGCTTATAATTGCTCAGTATATTTGGTTAATATACATTTTTACCTCAAAGTAGATCTTTGACAGAGTAAATTTTAAACATGTAATTGTATTTGAAGTATTTTGTAATTTGAATATATGCATGATTTTAATCATAATTCTTTTCATGTGCTAAGTAATTAAAGTTTTAAACTAAAAATACCATAGGCAACACTTACTGTTTTCTTCCCAGTTTATGTTGTGTTGAAGTGATGATTGTATTGCATGCCAAATATTTAAGCCTAAACGGAAAGGAATGGACATTTACTTTGCCTGTATTTTATACACTAACACTTTGCAAATGCAAGGCCATCGTCAGTATTGTGGTATCAATCTTGGGCAGTCTGTGGCTTGGGCATATTTCAGTTCAGAATATAAGTAAAGTTCATTGCTTATTACTTCTGAAGGCTATTATAGTTAAACTGAAATATAAAGGACAGTGGTTAACTAAATTGTTTCCCCCCCTTCCCCCATTATTATGCCAAAACTCACAATTGTGTATTATCATCATCTGTTTGTTTCACATAGCTGGTAAATTTTAGTGTTCAGTACCAGCTGAGAGTAACTGGGGTCCCAGTAGTTGATAAGTCAAGCACTAAGAAAATGTATCAATGTTCATGTTTAAATATTTCACTACTTCTTGGTACTTTAAACCTGATAGAAAGTGTCTGACAATTTTGTGTCATAGCTTTTGTTAACATTAAATTCTCACTCATGTAGCTAACATCTTGGCATTTTTGGCACAAACCAGTTTTTTGAGTACCAACCTAAATGGATACACAGTTAAGACTCACTACAAGGGAGAAAGTTGACAAGAGACTGAAAGAAGGGAGAAGGAACTTGATAGAGGATGATCATCTTTCCGTTGACAAGAGACTGAAAGAAGGGAGAAGGAACTTGATAGAGGATGATGATCTTTCCTCCACAATAAGGCTGCTGAGCTGCTTAGGAATTCCTCTTAGCTTCCAAGAAATACAGGTAATCCTGTCACTTGCTTTTGTAGACAGTTTATGAAAGGTGCAGGCCTCGCCTCTGCTAGTCTTTCCAGAAATCCTTTATCACACAAGACTCAAATAATGCAAAACTGAACATTTTCTCTTAAGAAAATCTGTCTGGACCAGACTACTTGTTTGGTTTGGGGTTGGTTTTTTGTTTGTTTGGTTGGTTGGTTGGTAGTTTTCATTGGGACACTACCATCTTTGTGATCATAGTTATTCTGGTTAAATGCGTCAGGCTTGTTTTGGGGATTTGAGACCACATTGAGACATTTGCAACAATTCTGCTTTAATGAGACTACTGGGCATTTGTACAATTAGCGTATATTAACAGCTATCCCATGCTGTTCTTGCTCTCTGGGGAAAATCTATCCAATATTAAATGAACCAAGAAAGAGCATGCAAGCTCCCTGCTTAGTTGCTTGCACTAAGCTAAAGCTCCCATGATCTTTAAATTGTATTGTTCTGTGCAGGGAGAATAGACAGAGATACACCTTGCACTTGCTCATGATGATTAAGCCTGGCAGGCCTCAGTGTAGGCACGCCCGTCAAAAGCAGTAAGCCTGTGGTGTTTCTCTGGGATAGATATAGTTGGAATGGGTTCCTGAAGAGATTAAAAGTAAGACTGATACTATTTAGCTGCTTATCGATTATTTGAAAATAAACTTTGAAAACCCAAAGATCAGTGCACTGATAAACAACAGTAGGCAGCAACTGTGTTGACCATTTAGTGAACTATGCCACCCAGAGGAACCTTGACACACTTGGGAGGTAGGCCAGTGCCAAACTCATCAAGTTCAACACGAAGTGCAAGGTCCTACATCAGGGTCAGGGCAATCCCAGGCACAGCTACAGACTGGGCAGAGAAGAGATTCAGAGCAGCCTTGAGGAGAAGGACTTGGGGGTGGTGATTGATGAGAAATTGAATGTGAACTGGATTCAGTGTGCGCTTGCAGCCCAGAAACCAACCATGTCCTGGGCTGCATCAAAAGAAGCGTGACCAGCAGGTCGAAGGAGGTGATCCTGCCCCTCTACTCTGCTCTTGTGAGACCTCACTTGGAGTACTGTGTGCAGTTCTGGTGTCCTCAACATAAAAAGGACATGGAACTGTTGGAGCAAGTCCAGAGGAGGGCCACGAGGATGATAAGGGGGCTGGAGCGCCTCCAGTATGAAGACAGGCTGAGAAAGTTGGGGCTGGTCAGGCTGGAGAAGAGAAGGCTGTGTGGAGACCTCATAGCAGCCTTCCAGTATCTG